CTATGAGCCTGCGGGTCCTTCTTGTTTATTTCTAGATCATCAGTATCCCCCAAAGGCACCATTGCTTTGCATAATAAGCTTCAAGGCCAATTTTTTTAAAAAAGATTATTTATTTACTTGACAGTCAGAGTTACACAGAGAGAGAAGGAGAGGCATGGAGAGAGAGGTCTTCCATCCAATGATTCACTCCCCAAATGGCTGCAAAGGCTTGAGCTGTGCCAATCTGAAGCCAGGAGCCAGGAGCTTCTTCTGGGTCTCTCACATGGGTGCAGGGGCCCAAGGACTTGCACCATCTTCTACTTCCTTTCCAGGCCACAGCAGAGAGCTGGATCAGAAATGGAGCAACTGGGACTCAAACCAGCGCCCATGTGGGATGCTGATACTGCAGGCGGCAGCTTTACCTGCTGCACCACAGGGTAGCCCCCAGTTTTTAACATATAAGCAGGTTGCGTTCAGACAGCAATGAGGCATTTCTGCAGGTTGCACCATTTTGTACTCACTGGCTGAGGCTGAGCTGCACAGCACTCTGGGAGGGGAAGCTAGAACGAGGAGGGTGGAGAGGGAGCTGGGGTTGTAGTGCTGTGGGTTAAGCCACCACCTGCCATACTGCCATCCCATGTGGGAAGGCGAGTTCGAGTCCCAGCTGCTCCACTTCCCATCCAGCTTCCTGCTAATGTCCCAGAAGCTGCCCCCATGTCCCTGCCACCCAGGTGGAAGGGGCGGAGGGCTTTGTCAGCTCCTACTCCACATGGAAGGGGCTGCCACAGAAGTCAGTGAACTCCCTCCCTCGTAGAAAGTGGGCAAAATGTGCTGGCCTGGCTCTAAGACCCCTCTCTATCCCTCTTCCGAAATACCAGCGGGGAGGAGCCGGCAGCAGGGCTATCAGCTTCCGGCCACTGAGATCTGCTGGAGTGCTCACTGCCTCTGGACGCTCCAAGGAAACTTATTTAACAGCAATGAAAATGTCTAGATCATGAATTCTAAGAGGCTGGAGTGGGCCGGCGCCGCGGCTCACTAGGCTAATCCTCTGCCTTGCGGCGCTGGCACACCGGGTTCTAGTCCCAGTTGCCCCTCTTCCAGGCCAGCCCTCTGCTGTGGCCTGGGAGTGCAGTGGAGGATGGCCCAAGTGCTTGGGCCCTGCACCCCATGGGAGACCAGGAGAAGCACCTGGCTCCTGCCATCGGATCAGCACGGTGCACTGGCTGCAGCTCGCCGGCCGCAGCAGCCATTGGAGGATGAACCAACGGCAAAGGAAGACCTTTCTCTCTGTCTCTCTCTCTCACTGTCCACTCTGCCTGTCAAAAAATAAAAAATAAATAAAAAAAGAGGCTGGGGTGTAGGTGGAATGAATGAATGCATAAGTGAATGAGTCTGATGAAAGGATGGGAGAGGCTGCTGTTTCTGAGCTGAGAGACAGTGAACTTCCTCTCCCTTCCCTGGCCACCTGACCTCTCCTCTTGCTGTCTCTTCCCCTCTGAGCCAGCTCCCCACCCCCCCATCTGGTTCTCCTTCCAGCGGGTTCCCAGACTCTCCCCTGCTCCCTCCTCAGCCTCCTCCCCCGCAGCTCCTTCGAGGGTCTCCTCAACAGGCTCACTTCTCTGTTTCCTCTCCTACAAGTCCCGCACAAGCCGCTTGGCCCATCCTCCAGGGATGATGATGCTCACGGCTCTCCCGTGCTCACTGCGTGCACTGCTGCGTGGACCCCCCGTGTTGAACCCTCACCAGGTTCCACGAGTCTATGAGGGTGATGCTGATATGATCCCCGGGAGGAAATCCAGGCCCCACACCATCAGGGGCTCGCCTGCGGCCCACCCAGCTGACAGATGATGGAGCTGGGATTCAGATTCACTCACGGACCCCCTGGCCAGAGCGCCTGATCACAAACCCGCTTCAAGCTCTTGCTCATAGAGCCCCTCCTCTGTGAAGCCGTCCCAGATTCCCAGAAAGAACTGCTTCCTGACTCTTGGATTTTACAACTGAGAATGCTGTGCCCTGCTTGTCCCAGGCCCCTCCCCCCGCCCCGCCCCCTGCACCTCCCCGGCCCCGGGAAGTCAGGGATTGTGCTGTGTTGCCCCCTAGTGTCCAGCACAAGACGGGTCACAGCCTGGGCGCTCTCGCGATGCTTGCTGATGGCATGACTGGGGTCCCAGGACCCACCCACCCCCACCCCACCCCACCCGCCGGGCACACAGCTGGAGAGGACCACTAAGAAGCTCCCGCTGACAGCTGGGAGAGCCCCAGAGGGCAGCTGTTGGGCCAGGCCTGTCCCTGGGGGAACCAGCTGATGAGGAAGTCCCACACTTGTGCCAGCCCACACCCGGGGGTTTTCCCAGCAGGTTCAGCCAGCAGCTAAACTGTGATGGGAAATGACCCTGGCAGGGTCTCTGGATGCTACTGGAAGATGTGTGGCCAGAATTGCTAAGCTCAGTGCCTGGGCCACCCTAGCCAGAGCACGTCAGGCCTCAGAAGCCCAGGCGTTACACGGCCTTGGTAAGACAGTAGTTCTGGGGTGGGTGGGGACTTTCTTGCGGTCTGAGAGAAATTGCCTCATCCCTAGAGCTGTGGGGCAAGAACCGTCCCAGTGTTTCTCAGCGGTATCCCCGTGCCCGCGGGCCATTTCTGAGCTTGGTTCTCTTGCACAGCCCCCAGACCTCGCTCTTTGGCACCTGCCTCTACCCAACCCAGTTCCCCTTCTCGGGGAACTTGCTGAGCCTCCCTACAGCCTCCACTTAGGACCACTACATCCCCAGGTGGGGTGAGAGGAGAATGCAGAGGAGCTGGAGTTAGGCAGTGTGAGTGCCAATCCCAGCTCCACCTCGGCTCATCTGCCTCCCCTGCCTGAGCCCAAGTTCTCTCCTCTAGAAGATGACAAGCTGGACAACATGAAAATTAAGGGATTTGTTCGACGCAAGCCACCACGGACTGGTCGCTCTCAGAGTGTGGTCCTTGGACCAGCAGCATCAACTGGATACATGTTAGAAATGCAAATTCTCGCCCCCACCCCTTCCTGTCCTGCTGAGCCAGAAACCAGAGGCGGGGCTCAGGAAGTTGTGTTTTAGCAAACCTTCCAGGAGTTTCTGCTGCAGGCTGATGTGTGAGAACCTATTCTGTAGGTAAACTAGTGAAGGGGCAACATGTTGGGAGAAGATACTTGGAACGTCAACACCCACAAGGGATTAATATCGAGATTTTTTAAGCTACTCATCAGGAAACCCAATAGGAATTGAGCAAAACACAAGAACAGGCAATTCACAGTAGGGGAACCCCAGAAGCCTGCCAAGTACAGGAGGAAGCACCGAATTTCAGCATTAACAGAGAAATGTAAGTTAAATTGATGTTGCGAAGCCACCTTACACCAGAACTGATGGGCAAACATTATAAAGTCAGGTGACGCAAAAGCTGACGAAGCTGCGGGGAAACAGCCTCTTTCACAGGCTGCAGGTGCCATTCTGGAAGGACTTAGTGAAATGTACAATGCATATGCCCTCCTGGGTACAGAGCCCAGTGACATTTCCACATAGGCCCACAGGGCATGAGCAGGGATGTCCATCACAGTGTTGGCAGCGGTAACGGGGAGTTGGAGGCAACCTGGTTGTCCTTCACTGGAGAAATGGAGAGAGCTGGCAGCCAATGCCCACACAGAACATTCTGCTAGGTTGGATGCAATAAGCTAGATTTTTGCCACAGTGATGTGGATAGATCTTAAAAACATTACAGAGTGAAAAAAAGCAATGAACGAAATTCTTACACAGCATCGTGTATTTTATGAGCAGGGACAGCCATCAACACATAGGGGCGAGTGCTTATGGTGATGGGGGAAGGAGCGTGAGGAAGCTGTGAGCGGGAGGGGGCAGTGGACTAAGCACCAGTAGCAGGCATTTGGTGGACACTCAACATGCACTCAACTCAAGATGCCGCCTGGTTGGGGCCGGCTTTGTGGTGTGGTGGGTAAAGCCACTGCCTGTGACACTAGCGTCCCATACAGGTGCCAGTTCATGTCCTGGCTGCTCCACTTCCAATCCAGCTCTCTGCTAGTGGCCTGGGAAAGCAGAAGATGGCCCAAGCACTTGGGCCCCTGCTACCTGTGTGGGAGACTTGGATGAGGCTCCTGGCTCCTGGCTTTGGCCTGTACAGCACTGGCTGTTGTGGCCATCTGGGGAAGATTCTCTCTCTCCCTCTCCCTTCCCCCACACCATGTGTGTGTGTATATATCCCCTTTTCTCTGTAAATCTTTCAACTTAATAGATTTTTAAAGAAAATATACCCCTTGGAATACCCTCACTGGAGGGCCTGGGTTCAAGTCTCGACTTCCGATCCAGCTCCCTGATAATGTGAGGGGGCTGGCTCAGACAGCTAAGTTGCTGCCACCCACATGGAAGACCCAGACTGAGCTGCTGGCTCCTGGTTTTGGGCTGGCCCGGCCCTGTCTGTTGAGGACACTTGGGGAGTGAACCAGTGGATGGAAGAGCTCCATCTGTCTCTGTCTGCCTTTCAGACATACAATAAACAACATCAGAAGGGCTTTGCATGGACCAACGATGCTGCGGTGATCACTTGCCACAATCTGAGAATGACTCGTGGGACTCGTTGGACCTGAAGTCTTCTTGCAAAATCGACGCGAACAGGACCTGCCTCAGGCCCAGTACCCCGCCCCTGGCCATGAAAGCCTCTCACAGCTTTACAGGTGAATCCTGTCTCCTCTGTGTGTCTGGCCCCCTCGGAGGTCTTGTCCCTTTAACCCTCCCAGGCTTTATTCTGGCTGTGCAGCTGCTGTCCTGGCCCTGGCTTCGTCCTCTCCGACCCCGTCATCAGATTTCTTTGGTTACCTAGGCCCAGGGCAGCAGGCTGTGGGGCCTTGGGGATTTTCAGCTTAGGGCTGGACACAGAGCCAGGTGGTAAGGATGGCTGACTTCTGTTTCTTCTCCCCTGACCATCTCCTTAATGCCCAAGTTCCCATCCTATTTCTCCCGGGCAGATCAGGTAAACTGAGTCTGAAAGTGTTCAACGTGGAAGGGAGCAACATTTATTGAACACTGTGGTCTCAATCTTCATTAACCCCCGTGACCACCCCATGTGGCAGGTGGGGCTGCCCTCACTGGACACATGAAGAAATAGGAAGCTCCCAGAGGACAGGAGCCCTGGACCTGCCTGGCTCCAAACCTGAGATCCCCAAATCCCCAAATCCCGGCTCCAGATCCAAGATCTGAACAAGCAACTGGCTCAGTCTCAGGGCCAAGACGGGGACCCCACACTCCCTGAGTCAGGCCCCACTGGAGGCAAAGCTCTGCTCCACACTGACAACTCCTGCCAGCAGCCAGGGGAGAGCCTGCTACCAGCACCTTATAAAGACCCGCCATTTAGCTGGGCAGTTTAGGGCAGTATCTAAGGGCAATCCTGAGATTCCCTCATGTCTGTTTCTCTGTTCTTGAACCTGAGTTTCCCAGTCTATAATGAGGGTAACTTCAAAAAGTACATGGAAAATGGAATTAAAAGATTAAGTTTACTTTGGTGCAAAATTAAAAAAAAAAAATCTGTGCATGTGACAGGTCTTCAAAGAGTTCAGGGAAAATGCACATTGTTAAAAGAGCATTCATGAATCTCAAAATTCTTTTGCTCCAAAATAAATATCTTTTAATTCCATTTTCCACAAACTTTTTGAAGTCCCCTCCTGAAATTAGGACAAGGGTGCCCTCGGCTCTGAAAATTCTTTTCTCCATCTGCCAGCAGCTGGAGCCCACTCCTCAGCCCTCTCCCTGGGGGTATCGGGGAGGAGGGGGGCTCCTGGGATCTGGGACTGTGAAGACCAAAGTAGGGCGAAGTTGGCAGGGGGACCCGCGCCTGGGCGTTAAGAGTCCGGCCTCGTCCGCCCCCTGCAGGACACTCTCGGTACTGCAGGGACCCGAGTCCCAGCACAGAGACGGAGGTCCCGGCCAGCCGGGGTAGGACTGAGGGGAGGGATCCTGGGGCCGGGGACCCCTGGGCAATAATGACTGCGACTCGGACAGGCAGGCTGCAGGGCCGCTCCCCTTGCGAGCTCTCTTCTTGGAAGGCGACTACAGGTAGTTGTCTTCAGCCGCGTCGCCCGCGCCCTGGGCGTCGTCGTCGTCGGGGGCCAGCGCCTCGATGTCGTGCGTGATGTCTACCAGCAGCCGGTGGAAGGCTTGCGCCTCGGGCCTCTGTGCCGCCTCGTCGTAGCTGCGCACGGCCGACGCCGACGTGGAGCTCATGCTGCGCTTGATGCGGCCGAAGCTGTCGGTGAGGATGCCGCCCTCGCGGATGCCCACGCCCTCCAGGAAGCCCTCGAAGTAGCCAATGTCCTGGTCGGGGATGAAGGGCCGCATCCCTGCAGCCACAAGGCAGGCTGATTCCCCGGGGGCCTGCGGCCCCTCGCGAGCCCCCAGTTCCAGTCCCCGCTGCTGTGTGCTCTGCCCAGGGCCCCTCGGTCGGAGCGGTGGACAGCGAGGAAGCGCTGGGCAGGCGGTCAATGCTCACTCGCGCCCACGGGTTATTAACTACGGCCGCCCTGGCCCCATTTTCTAGCTCTGTGAACTGCTTTGAGCCTCACTGCCTGCAGCTGTGAGGGTACCTGCACCTGTTCCAGGAGGGCAGGGCTGCAGGGCATCCGGGGATTACACAGCAAGGTGCTAGCACAGGGGAGCCATACACAGTAGGTGCTCTCTCTGTCCCTGCTTCCCAGCTGTGTGACTGCTCCAGGCCTCGGTTTCCTGGTGCACAAGGGGGTCAAGGGACAATTCTCGCATCTGCTTCCCAGAACTGGGGACACTCAGTGAGATGACGCAGTGACTGCCACACACACGCTAGCTTAGGACCGTTAGCGTTCCTGCTGTTGCTGGCTGTGTGACCTCGGGCAAGTTCCCCAGCCTCTCTGAGCCTCAGCTTCCTCGTGGGGTGAGATGGGGAGAATCCCTGGTCTCCTGGCTTCGCTGTGAAGAGGAAATGACTGCCCGGTGCTTTCTCAGCCGCCTGGTTCTGTGCACCCCAGCCTCACCTGCCCCAGGGATCATATGCTCTCGTCCTCACCACAGGCTGCAGGATAAGGACCTTGGCTGGGACAGGCACAGAGGAGGAGGAGGGGCCTCCGCTGACCCTGGGGGCGGGGGCTCACCAAGGAGGAGGAACTTGCGCCGGTCCCCGTACAGCTTCAGCAGGCCGGCACAGTAGTCCTGGATGGGCAGCCCCAGCCGGTACTCCCGCAGCAGCACGGCAAACTGCTGGATCTCGGGGGGCCCCAGCTTGCTCCGCAGCTGCAGACGACACCACTGGCAGTCAAGCCCAGGGAGGCACCACGCCCGACCTCTGCCCACCAGACCTGGCCGGAGCCCTCACGAGGGGGCAGCTCTGGCCCGATCCTTCTCGCCACACAGCCGGCTCGAGGCACACCCAGACGTGCTGGGGTGTGGACTCAAGCTGCCTAGTTCAGATCCTGGCCCGTCATCGGCCTGCTCTGCACTCCTGGGCAGGTGACGGCCTCCCTGGCCCCTGCCCGCCCCAGCTGCAAAGTGGGGCCCGTGATAGGGCTGCTGGGGACGCACGGAAGGTGTTTGCACAGGGTCTGCTGGACGGCAAGCACGCAGCCCATGCCAGTGGCCAGCGCTCAGGTCTCCTCCCAGCGGCCACCTCGGGTCCTCTCCCAGCAGCCATCTCAGGTCCTCTCCCAGCGGGCTTGGTGACCGCCTCACCTCGTCTCTGCCCTGAGCTCTGTCTGAAGTCTTCCGCTCTGGTTTGTCCAGGACGATGCCTGACTCCTGGATGCGCCCAGGGGCACTCCCACCTCTGGGCCTTTGCCCACGCTGTTCCCACTGCCTGCCCCGGCTCACCGTGATCATGTAATCCTGCAGCTGCTCCAGGCCCAGGCCGCTGTGGTCACTGCTGCTGCAATGGGAGCCGTGGAAGGAGGGTGTGGACGTGCCACTGTAACAGGCTTCAAACGTGTCCTGGGAGCCGTTGCTGCGGGGACAGGAGGAAAGGAGCCCTCACTCGCCCCTCCCTCCCACCCCCTGCCCTGAGCCAGCTGAAGGTGGATGGCCACGGCTACTGCTGCTCCCATTCTGGCCTCCCGCACCCCTGCATGACTGGCCCCTGGCCACCTCCCAGGCCTCCCCCTGCTCTGGTGCCACCTTCTCCTTTTCGCTCTAATACTCCACCCACCTCCTCACCTCTGGGCCTTTGCACATGCTTTCCCCTCACCTTTTGCTTAAGCCAACCCTTGCTCATCATTTGCCCCTAAACGTCCTCTCCCCAGGAAAGCGTTCCCTGACCCCCCTGAGACTGGGCTCAGTGTGCTCACAGAGCCTGGCAGGGAACCCATGACGTGCAAGGCCTTCCCGGCCCTCCGGCCCTAACAGCCTCTGCCGCAGCCACAGCGGCCACCCGCCTGCGCGTCTAACGCCTCGGGTCCTTGCCCATGCTGTCCCCTCTGCCAGGAGTGCTCTTCCCTCTTTCATCCTCCAGGTCTTGGCTCAAGTGTCGGATGAGGTGGGGTCTCCCTCAGCCCCTCTGGCAGCACCCCAAACTTCTCTGGAGTGCGCATGACCATTAGGGCTGGTAACCATTAAATAGTGACTTCGTGGCTTCCTGCTCTAGACGGTGAACTTGGCTACAGGGTTTTGTTTCCTGAGAACATACTGTGTGCCAAGCACAGGCCTTGACCTCTGTCTTTCCTGCTGTAGCCCCGGCACACAGCTCAGTGCCAGGCAGATAGAAGGAACTCAAGAAATATTGCTTAGTTACACATTAGCCTTAGCTGGGCGGGGTGGGGAGGCGTCATCGTGGCACAGTGGGCTAAGCCGCCACTTGAGACGCTGGCTTCCCATACCAGAGTTGCTGGTTCAAGTCCCAGCTGCTCTGCTTCTGATCCAGCTTCCTGCACATGTGCCAGGGTAGGCAGCAGGTGATGGCCCAAGTGCTTGGGTTCCTTCCCATGGGAGACTGGGAAGGAGTTCTTGGCTGTTGGCTTCAGCCATCTGGGGAGTGAACCAGAGGACAGAAGATCTTTCTCTGTCTCTGTCTCTCCGTCTCTCTCTTTCAAATAAATAAACAAATCTTAAGAAAACGAGTCCGCCATGGGCTCATGCCTCCTGGTGCCGGCGTTGTTCCAGAACCCTCTCCATGTAGCTTCGTGATTCCGGGTGTGGGCCCTGAAGCCAGCCTGTTTGTGTTCAATCCTAAGCTTACAACTCACCAGCCACTGGTCCTAGGGAAACTTAACGCTTGTTTCTCTATTCCTCAATCTGAAAACGGATGGTAAAACTTGGTGTCACTGTGGGAATGAGAAGCGTTCATCTTTGGGAATTGCATGGAGTCCTGCCATGCAGGCAGCAAACGGGAGCCACTGGCATGCCGCCGCCGCCGCCATGTTGGTTTCTGAAACGCGGTGCCTAAGGAGCAGCACTCGGCACATGCAAGCTGGGCATCAGCCCCCTCACGGCGTCCCTCTCTCCACAGGCACCAGGCTGTTCACAGACTAGGGCACATGGGACTAAGAAGAAAGGCTAGGGGCAGTGTTGTGGTGCAGAGGGTTAAGCCGCTGCCTGTGACGCCAGCGTCTCATATGAGCAGCGGTTGAGTCCCCATTGCTTCACTTCTGATCCAGCTCCCTGCTAATGCACCTGGGAAAGCAGCAGAGGATGGCTCAAGTCCTTGGGCCCCTGCACCCATGTGGGGGACCCAGAAGAAGCTCCCGGCCCCTGCCTGGCCCAGCCCTGGCCACTGTGGCCATTTGGGGAGTGAACCAGTGGATGGAAGATCTCTTTCTGCTTTTCAAATACATACGTACATATATGTTTATGCTTTTTTTTTTTTAAAAAGGGTAATTCTGTTGCCACTAAAAAGATAATAGGGCTTATATCACTGACAGAGAAGGATGTTTTCCAACCCCAAGTCCTTAGACCCACAAGGGTAACCTCTTGTGCTGGTTTGTCCTGGACGTTTTAGTTTAGCACAGAAAATCCTGCGTCCCGGGAAGCCCTGGGCCACCCAGGGGGATGGTCACCTAACCAGTGCCCGGCCGTGTTCCCCCCAGACAGTTTAAAATCCTGTTTTCCAGCCTTACGTGCTGGGCACGTGACCAAGTTCCAACCAATGAGGTGGAAGCAGACGTCAGTGGTGGGAATTCCAGCAAAGCGCTTTAAAGTGGCCCGGAACGCCTGCCCTTTCTTGAATAAGCTACCCTTTTCCATGGTTTTCTATTACATGGGACCCAAACAAGAGCCAACCGGCACAATTTTTTGACGTCAGTTGTGACTTGGACTCTGCAGGTCCCTTGCCGGGATGACTGGGCCATGTGGACCCAGGGCTGGGTTCTGGTGACCCCTGCGTCCGTCTCTCAGGGGTCTGGAAGCTCCCCAGAGTCCGGGACCCCGCTTACCTCCCACCCGCAGTGCCCACGTCTCAGCACAGGGCCAGTTCGGTCCTTCCCTGCTACCCTCTCTAGCCTGACCGTGAGTGCGGGGAGTCGGGGGCGGCACCTACAAGGAGCTGCAGCAGCTGAAGTCGGCGTCGTAGGCGTAGGTCCCGTCCGTGTGGCAGCTCTCACCTGGGTCCGGCAGACAGAGGCACCGTCAGGGGCGGCACAGCAGAGCCCAGCACGCCCAGCCCCCGGGGCCCCGACCTCAGCCTTCATGTTGGGTGGGGTCCTGCCTGGCACCAGCGCAGCCGCTCTGGGCACCTCCCCCAGGCTCCTGACGAAGCAGCTTCCTACCTGCCTCATGGCGCCTTGGGGAGGCAGAGGAAGGAACAGGTGAGGGAGATTCTTGCGAGCTGTGTGTGTGTGAAGAGGAAGCACTATGGACACAGAACTTTCTCCTGGCCATCACTTCGCAGGTGCATGAACCTGCCCCGGCCTCCTGACCTCGGCTCACTGCACCCATTGCCTCCCACTGACTGCCCAGGTGAGCCCAGTTCTCACGGCCCCATCCATGACAAGCCCTGAATCGCTGGCAGCTGCCTCACGCTCTATAGCGCTGGCACGCTCTATAACCTGAGCGTTCTAGGGGCGGGGCCGCAGCTGCTTCTGCTCACCAGTGTGCCCTGGAGGTCGGGCATGGGCTGGAGGTAGTAGATTCTCAACACATGTCTGTTGCTGAATGACCTCATTCATTTGCCTGTCATCCCCGGGGGATCCCTAACTCCCCCGCTGCACAGGTGGGAGGGTCTTCAGGAGAGAAGAGGCAGCCCCTGGGTGCTGCAGCCACACAGCGGGCCGGGCTGCAGGGGGCAGCGGCGGAGGCAGGAGGGGAATTCACTCCATGGCCGTGAAGGCAGCTGCAGTTAGAGGCTTTCGCCTCAGCCTGGGCATCGCAGTAAGCACACACGTATGTGCTTGGGTTTCCGCACAACAGGGAGGAACATCCACCTGCGAGGCTCCGCCTGAACTTGGCACCCTGAGCGTCTTTGAGGACGCCAGGTTTGACTTGGCGTTCTAGCTACACACCGTGGCGCACTACAGCTGCGGCGGAGATAAAGGTCCCTGCAGGCCTTTGCCGGCCCTGCGTCCAGGGCCTCTCGGGATGGCTCGGCTCGGCGCAGGCGCGGAGGCCAGGTACTCACTGCGGCTGCAGAGCCACGGGCGTTCGGGTGTGGATGTGTAGTGGTAGCCAGCCCGGTCCACGCACTCGATGCTCTGGTCCCCGTAGATGATCTGGAAGACTTGGCAGATGAGTGCGCAGGACTCCTCGGCAGCGTCCTGGCCCAGAGAAGGGGAAGGGTCAGGCCGCACCGCTGCCGGCTGTCCCTGTTTCCTCCCTCCCTCCCTCCCACTCACACACCCGTTCACATCACCTGTCAAGATCCTATGGTCGTTGTCTGGCTCTTAGCACCTGTTTAAAAGGGGACTCCTAGATCCTCCTGAAGCTTATCTAAAGTGAGCCCTAATTAAATTTAAATGTGGAGGTTGAGGACCCAAGAGGGGAAGTGATCTGCCAGAGGAGAAATTAGGCTCAACATAGTTCTACTATGGGATGCTGTGTCTAGATAGGAGCTTCCTGGCACCCAGTGCACAAACGGAAGTGGGATGAATACATAAATGCCAGTCTCTGGTAGAAGGAGTTCAAGTTCTTGGATGCAAACTTTTTGAGACAAAGGTGAGAGATTTACTTCTTCATATCTTTAAGCAACAGACAAAGAAAGACAATAACTGATGGAAAGACCACCCTCATGCTATTCCTATTTTATATCTCCAAGAGCCCATGATGTAAATTAAGTCGTAACTCAGGGTGAGCATTCTGGAATAGTGGGGTATGCTACCATCAACCAAAGATCGATCCTTATAGTAGCCCTACAGGTCAGGCAGAGCAGAGAGGACCCTCACTCTATAAAGACACCGTGGCTCAGAGAGGGTAAGTGACCCACCCAGGCTCACAGAGCAGGTTCATGGCATGACAGTGACAGGCAGGTTTTGTGACTCTTGCTCCTGTACCCTTCCTGGGATTGCAGTGCCTCAGATGGGAGGCCAGAGGCTCGAACCCCTCCCCCCCAGAAGTGACTATTTACTCATCTCTCCATCCTCTCATGCAGCAGGCACTGGGCCAGACCTGTAGGCAAAGCCCTCGTGTACAGTAGGACAAACAAAGCCCACGGCTGCATCTGTCTGGAATCTGGTTTCCTTCTTCCTCAGCTGCAGGCTCCCAGTTAAATGACACAAACTCGCTTCTCTGTTCAAAAGGGGTCCCCTCCCCCCATTCACCCTTCCTGGAAGCTGCTTGTCATCGTCTTGGTCCCCATCACAAGGTCTCACACTAGGACTTGTGCTCATTTACCCACTGGGGTCCACTGCGAGGCCCAGGTCTAGATGCACCTGGAACACGCAGGCTTCTTGCATTCTAGAATGAGGTCAGCCTGGCTGGAGTAGAATAAAGCAAGAGGGTAGGAAGGGATGGGGCTGAGAGGTGGGTGTGGTGGCTGAGTGTGTGTGTGAATGAGAGAGAGGGAGGGAGAGGGAGAGAGGTGTTAAAGTTCACTGCAAGGTTTCCACCACGGCAATGCAAGGCTGAAGCTGCCATTAGGTGTCATGGGGAGAGCAAGGGAGTCGTAACAGCGGGTTTTTCACGGCATGGGGGAGCTTGTGGACTCAGCTTTGGAACTGTCAGGAGCTGAATGGAGATTAGGTGAAAGGTGCATTCTGGGGAATTCTCAGGGTTTTTAAGGCATGGGAGTGGACCTCATCCAGAACAGTGTTGACAAAGGAGAGAAGAGGGGCAGAGAGCAAGCCTGGGGCACTCCAGTGGTCCGAAGCTGGAGAGGAGAGGAGAGGAGAGACCAGCTCCTGAGAAGGCCCAGGGAGGTGGAAGGACCAGGGAAGGAGGAAGCTGGTGTCAGGTGAGAGCGTTTCCAGGGCTGGGGGCAGCTGTAGTGCCCCAGTGTCCTGCATATTATCCACCTGCCCCTCGGGTTTGCTCAGCACCGTTCCCATAGACAGGGAGCCGCTGGCCGCTGGTCAGAGAAGCTTGGGAGGCTGAGGAATGAGAGGCGCGTGCTGGACTGTGAGCTCCCCAAGACCAGCCCCATGACGTCTTGTGACCTCAGCACCCACGGCGCCAGCCCAGCGCCCAGCATGTAGTTGGTACTCAACACGGCCCAGTGAGTTGAAGCCAGGGTGAATGGGGAGGGGTCCACGTCCACACCGCAAGGACGCAGTAGGGGGTCTGCCTCAGTGGCCGCCTCGGCTCCCGGGAGCACCAGCTCTGCCCTTCCCGGGTTTCAGGCTGGAAATCAGCACCTGCTTCCTGTGCAGCCTTGCACAGGTTATTTAACCAGAGGGTCCCGGGTTCCTTGTCTACAGAATGGGGATGGTCGTCATATGTGCTGCTCTGGTGGCTGTGAGAATTCAACAGTTATTGCTGTCCCGCCCCGGTGCGGGTTGCCTCTAGCATAGTGACCGGTGATTCCTGGCTTGGTGATGGCTACAGAGACAGCAGGGACAGCTACAGCACTGGGAAACAGCAGGGCTGGACGAGGGAGTTAGCCCGGCTATCCGACGTTTTGAGTTTTAGTTCCATTGAGGAACCCCCGGGGAGGTGTCCAGGACTGGACTGTGGCCACCGAAGTCCCGGGTGAGGTCTTCCGGGGCAGACCCCAAGAACCCAGAGAACCGGGCGGGGTGGGGGCCAGAGAGAGAGAAGTCGGTGCGCTCAGGCTCACCCTGTCCGCTACAGCCAGGATGACCAGGTTGCAGTAGGCGTCGGGACTGGGGTCCTGCGGGTCCAGCGGGTTGGGCCCCGGGTGGCGCCGCTCCCAGCTGCCGCCGCCGCCCGCCTGCCTGCGCTCCCAGCTGCCGCCCGGCTTGCCCGCGTGCCGCCGCTCCCAGCTGCCGCTGAACGTCTGCCGCCGCTCCCAGCTGCCCGACGCCCGCGTCCCGGCGCGCTGCCGCTCCAGGCTGCCGCCGCCGCCGCCTGCCCGGGCCTCGGCGCCCGCGCCCCCGCCCCACGCCACGCGCCAGTCCAGGCTGCAGATGGTGTGGCGCCGCTCCGCCGTGCCCACCCGCCGCTTCTCGGGCGCTGCGCCTGGTGGGCCCGGGTCGCGCCCCGCACCGCCGGGGCTGGCATCCACGCCTGCGGGCACTGGGTCCACGCCCAGACCTAGGAGAGGCCGGGGGCAAGGTTGGGACATCAGCCGAGGTCAGCTGGAGGATCCGACCCCGCTGCTCAGGGTCTCCAGCCACCCCGGGCCTCAGGCCTACCCCTGGATTCAGGATTCGACGTAGCAAAGCCCGTTGCCACCCAGCTTCGCTTGCGTTCGGGCGCTGCCCCCTCCCCCTTTAGGCTTCACCCCTGGCTTGGACTTCTCGGAGGCTATGCAATTCCAACCACACCCCTGGCCCTCGACACAGACCTGCCCTCTGACCTGAGGGTGGTGGTCAGGCTGTCCCTCTACATTGGAGCCTAAATTAGGATCCTGGCCTTGCTTGGATCAGATTTACCCACTGTCTTCAACCCTGCCCACCCTGTCCCCTAGACTGATGTCAGCCACAGCCCACTTAGGTCTCCGCCTGTAGGTCAGACCGGGTCCCAGACTCCTCCCCCCTCTAGACCACGCCCCTTGCCTGACTCCGCCCTTAACCTGGGTTCTGAGCGTAAGCCAGAGTTTCTAGGCCAGACCTCGGTCATGGCTCAGACCCCGCCCTAGACACACCCCACCCCCAACCTGGACTCCACCCTAGCTAGGCTCCACCCAAGACTGTCCCCCAATCTAGACGCCACCCATAGACAGACTCCGCCCTTAACTTAGGATCTGCTCCTATGCCTGACTCTTCCTGGGCCAGATCCGGCCCCTAGGCCTGTCCATGCTCCCCTGGCTCCTCATCTGGCCTCCGGATGGTGGATCAGCCCCAACCTCAGGCTTTGCCTTCTTGCAACTGTCTTTTTCAGCCTGCCCTTCGTCTCAGGGTAGAGTGGTCAGGCCTTTGCCATCGTCTGCTCTCCCAGTCTGAGGCCCGCGCCCAGCCGCAGGTCACGCCTACACCCAAGATTCTTCCCCTCACTTCTGTCCCCCGACCCCGCCGCCAGGCCCCACCCCTTATACCGGTCTTAAGCACTAGCAGGTGCAGCGCGTCGTCCTGCAGGTAGGAGGCGGCGGCGATCTCGTGCGTGGGGATGCGCAGGATGAGCTCCTCGTTGTCGCGCCAGGTGAGCAGCAGGCAGCGGGCCGACAGGCTCAGGATGCTGTCCTGCTCCGCCGTGGTCTTCAGCGGCAGCTCCTTCAGCTGCTGCAGGGTGGGGATGTCGGGGCTCCTGAGTGTGCGGGGCCGCGGGAAAGGGAGCCGCGGGCGCCACCCAGCCCTCCCTTCCCACAGTCTCACCCTGGCCGTGTCCAGAAGCTGCAGGAGCTCGTCCCGGCTCGAAGGGTTCAGGGAGGAAGTCACCCAGGTGAGGTGGCCCAGGAACTGGATGGGAAAGGGGGTAGGAGCAGGGCACAGGGACGTCACCCGGAGCCCCCTCGCCGTCACAGGGCCGGTAGACTAGGAACATCTGAGTTAATAATAGCTTGGCCATGTTTATTAAGCTCTTAATACAAGCTGGACACAGTTCTGAGCCTCATTCATGCTTGCTTTAAGAATGAGAAAAAACCGAGGCATGACGAGGCTAATTTGAAAACTGAACACAGCGTTCTATAGCGTGAGCTTCCGGAGCGAAGCGGAAGTCACGCTCGCTGCCTGCAACAAGTGCCGGCCCGTGCGTTTCCTCCTGGCCAGAGAGGCGTCGGGGTCCAGCTGACCACAAGTCACTTGTCCTCTGTCCTGGTGCAGTGCCCAGTGAAAAGGGAAGGTTGCAGAATCAGCCCAGCATCTTTTTTTTTTTTTTTTTTTTGGACAGGCAGAGTGGACAGTGAGAGAGAGAGAGAAAGGTCTTCCTTTACCGCTGGTTCACCCTCCAATGGCCACTGCGGCCGGCGCACCGCGCTGATCCGAAGCCGGGAGCCAGGTGCTTCTCCTGGTCTCCCATAGGGTGCAAGGCCCAAGCACTTGGGCCATCCTCCACTGCCCTCCCGGGCCACAGCAGGGAGCTGGCCTGGAAGAGGAGCAACTGGGACAGAATCCGGTGCCCCGACTGGGACTAGAACCCAGTGTGCTGGCGCCGCAAGGCGGAGGATTAGCCTAGTGAGCCGCGGTGCCAGCCTCAGCCCAGCATCTTGTCGGGAGGAGATGCTCGGAGCCAGAAAAGCACTGCCTTCAGTCTTGTGCTCTCTGAGAATGAACTTTTTCATTAATTTCTGGCAGGTGCGTTCTACCAACCAAATCCCTTCTCTTCTGATTCGCTGTGAAACTTCAGCCCTCAACTTCTAAGTAGCTTGCCTAGCTTTTCTCTCTGTGCAGGGCTGACAGTTAAATCTGAATTTCAGATAACAACGACTGTTTTTCTCTCTCAGTTTTCTGGTGCTTTGAGTGCCATGTGATATTTGGGACATACTGGGATAGTATCCATTGCTTATGTGAAATTCAGGATTACCTAGGCGGCCCGTTATTTGCTAAGCCTGGCAACGCTGAATGAGGAGTGCCCCCTGCTCCTTCGCAGGATTCACAAACAGAAATAGTGCCCTTGGAGACTCAGTCCCCAGCTGGGGCAGAGTGGCCTGGGGAGGTGCAGGGGGTCTGCTCCCCGCCACTCTCCCCTGGGTGGAAGTTGGAGCCCCATATGGTAGATGGGGGTCCCTCACTAAGGACCCCCGGCATAAGGCAGGGGCAGAGGCCGATATGAACACAGCTGCAGCTTCCCCCGCGAGAGATAGGGTGGCCCAGGAGCCGGTATGGAGGACAGGCAGGTCCCTCCTGACCCCAAGGTCGTTCCCACACGCACCTTGACCTCCTTCTCCAGGTAGTCACACAGCAGAATCTGGGGGTCGATGAGGTAGTCGGGAGGATAAAGGGGCAGGGAGTGCAGGGGCCGGCGGCTCACGCTGGTCCGGCAGGCTGCCTGGCGGCGCCCGGCCTTGGGGAACACCAGTCTTCGGATGGGAGAGACAAAGGCCTGGGAGGGTGCAGAGTAACCATGGTAACAGTGGTTGCCCGGGCTGAGCGCGCCCCACGCTCGCTGTGCTGCTTACAGGGCCTCACGTGATTCTCTCGACAGCTCTGTGGAAGGGGCACCTCTATGAGTTCCATTTCACAGATGGAGAAACCGAGTCCTAGAGAGGGCACTAACTGATAGTCACCAGCTAGTAGTAGTGAAGCCAGTAGTTCACCCTGGGCGGTCCTGCTCCAAAGCCTGCATCCTAAATACCCAGGTGATGATGGTATAGCCCCTGCCTGCCAGGTGCAAGGAGTGAGCGGGGTCAGTTAGGAGTCAGTGTGGCTGAGCGGTAGGTGCACAGGTGCTGGCCAGGCCGTCTTCTGTGCTTCCCTAAAAGTTACAAATGACTAATAAGTGCATTTAAGTAGAACCCAGGGACACCTGCGTAGAAATGACCCGGATCAAGTTAAAGGTGAAAATCCAGGGCCCCAGCCCAGACCCATACAATCTGGATCTCAAATTCTGAGCAGGACCCTGGGGTCCAGCACCAGCTGCTGCAGGTCTCCACCTGGGACCTTGAGAGAAATAAATACAGGTTCTCGGGCCCCATCCCACAGCCCCTGAGTCTGACCGTGGGCGTCTAGGCCAGGAGCCGGGGCTCAGCCAGCGTCCCAGCCCCCACCCTGGCTGCCCTTTATAACTGCCTGGGGAACTTCTAGAGTGGCAGGGCTTCCGGGCAGGTTTTTTCATAATACGCGTTTTCTAGAAGCATTTTGGAAGGCCCTCATATGCAGGGATTTCAAAAACAATTTGCACCAAAATCAACTTAGCTTTTAGCTCCATTTGTCCTTGAACTTTCTGAGGTGCCCTCAAATAATCTTGACTTCTGAGTCCTCTGCGATTCACATGGGTGCCTTTTAGAACAGCTCTGACCCAGGCTTCCCAGAAGAAGAGGGCTCTGTGGGGATGGGGGCGGGGCTGGAATCTGAGGAGCTCCCCAAAGACAGCCAGGTGAGATGCCCCGAGAAGCAGGCTGGAAAACTGAGTGAGGCATGAAGGGGTGAGGGGCAGGGGCTGGAGAGGGTGGCTCCCGGGCTGGGGCCTTGGGAGCGGGCCCTGTAGGAGATCCGAGGGCAGGGCTAGGCTGGAGCACGGTAGGCAGTCTCCCTGGCACAGGACTGTCCTGCTGGGGCCCTCCTGGGAGGGGTGGTGGGGAGCAGAGGAGTGGATCTGCTGGGTGTATGTCTGCCCCTCCGCCTGAGAAGCTGTGAGAGGAAGCCCCCCGGGGAAGCAGGTCTCCCTGGCTCAGTTCCCCAGGAAGGTCCTTCTCCATCGGCCCATTCCCAGGACGGCACAGGCCACCGAGAGTGGAGAAACAGCTTAGTGTGTGGCTGCCCAAGGGTGGCAGGGAAGGTCCCTGCACAGGAGAGCAAGGCTGCGTTTGTGCCACTTGTTCCCCCTCCCCCAGGCTCTCCCTTTCCCCAGCTTCAGGGGCGACACTCTGCCCTGCCTCCCACCCCAACTCCCACCTACCTTCTTCCCTTTCTTGACTTCATATTCCATGGTGCAGTGTCCCCTCTGCTCCTGCTACCCTCCTGGCCACCCCTCCAGCCCCCCTACCCCCACCCGGTTTTCCTTTGTTCTTTTTCCTGCCTGATCGGAAACTCCACCAGCCCTGGAGTTCCTGTCCCTCCCATCTGCTGGCGGGGAGGAGGGGATGGAGGACACAGCCTTGGGACCCTCCAGCTGGGGAGAAAGTCTCAAGGTCTCCAGCTGTCAGGGGGGCTTGGCGGCTGAATGGGCCTGGGGAAGGGTTTCTTAAATTTGGAGTCCAAATTCGGAAAATCCCAAGTTCCAGGCCTATTTAGGTCATTGACCTTGATGTGTAACCTTGGCAAGGCAAATCAGTGCCTTTACAGCCTGCTGCCCCCACCCCTCTAGGAATGGGGGCAAATGTGGCCCCTTCCCCGGGCAGCCCTGGGGAGAGGGGGATGAGAGTGGTAGAAAGCGCTTCATCACGGTAGAGTGCCCAGGCAAGCTATGATTTAAAATCCATCATCGCTCTTCAGGAAGGCAGAACGCGTAGCTCCCGACGGCTGCCCGACTTTGAATCCTGGCTTTGCCACTTTATGCGGGTGGTGACCTCGGACAAGTCCCACATCCAGTTGTGGCTGTTCCCCTGTCTGTAAGTGGGCACAACACTGGTATGATCTCGCAATGACCTGTAAGGATTAAATGCATTTAGAAGCGCTCCTGGCACATAGGAAGTGCTCAACAAATACCAACCATCTCCCTGTCTCTGGGTCCTGGGCTGTTTAACATCTCTTGGGCGAATACTAGGTGGGCAAGGTCCCTCCTGTGACTCTGCACTTGAGCACATTTACTCTCTCATTCCTCACCGTGGTGGGGGTACCACTACTCTTTTTTTTTTTTTTAAAGATTTATTTAATTTTTTGAAAGTTACAGAGAGGTAGAGGCAGAGAGAGAGAGAGAGAGAGAGAGAGCGCGAGAGCACTTCCATCTGCTGGTTCACTCCTCAAATGACCACAAACACAAGCACTGGACCAGACTGAAGCCAGGAACCAGGAGCTTCATCCAGGTCTCCCACGTGGGTGGCAGGGGCCAAGCACTAGGAGCATCTTCTACTGCCTTCCCAGGCGCATTAACAGGGAACTGGATTGGAAGTGGAGCAGCTGGGACACCAGCCAGTGTCTATATAGGATGCCAGCATGGCAGGCAGTGGTTTAACCACAGCTCCAGCCCCATCATCATTCCTATTATCCAGATTTTTTAAACTGGGTTGAGACAGATGTTTGGCCTAGAAGTTAAGGCATGGTTGAGATGCCTGCATCCTGAACCAGAGTGCCTAGGTTTAAGTCCTGGCTCTGATTCCAGCTTCCTGGGGGGCAGCAGTGATGGCTGAAGTGGTTGGGTTCCTGCCACCCACGTGGGAGAACTGGGTGGAGTTCCTGGCTCTGGCCCTGCCCCTCCTGCCCCTGCTATGACAGGCGCTTGTGGAGTGAAACGTTGGATGGGAGTCTTTCTCTCTCTCTCTTATAAATTAAAAAGAAAAAACAACAACTCAAGTGCAGAGCCTAGCTTGAGGTGGTCACACAGTGAGTGGTAGGAGACCCTGGATTTTGGCACTGGGCTGGATCTGAAGCCCCATGTTCCTTGTTCCTTAATCCCAGGACCTGTGCACTCTGCCTGTCCCACCCAGGACAGCTGGAGAGGTTCTGAGTGGCCCATGACGCCTCAGCCCTGGGAACTGCTCCTGGCCTCAGCTTTCTTTCTGGTGGGAACGATGACCCCCCCAAAGCTCTCTCCTGATCAGAGGTGCAATGAGGAAGACATGAGGCTAGGAATGAGGAAGCCACTGGGAACGGTGACGGCGACATGCCGGTGCCAGGCATTGCACTGTGTTTGGAGGCTTGGGCAGATCAGCTCAGCATAGCTGCAGGGAGAGGCTCCCAGCCACCAGCTTTCTTTTTCTCTCCCTCTGCTTAGCCCCAGCTCTCCCGCCACGCCCTCCTGCTGCCCTACATCCTGCCAGTCTCCCAAAAGCAGGGAGTGAGCTCAGCTTGCAGGGCCAACAGGAAGAGGCCAGGAGTGTGAGCCAATCCCTGACTCTGCCCTGGACATCAAAGCTCCCACTTAACCCCTTGGGCTAAGCCAGGAGTCAGAGTTTCAGCGGGGGATGAACTGTGGTCTCTTGCTCCGGCACCTCCGTGACTGGCTTTGGCAAGCCTTCTCCTTTCCTTGGGCCTCGGTTTCTCTTATCTATAAAATGGGCAGTTATAGTATTCCTAGACTAGCTGCAAACACCACTAAACTGCCGTGAAGCCTGATAGGACAATACTTTTTTAAAAGATTTATTTATTTATTGAAAGTCAGAGTTACACAGAGAAGGAGAGAGAGGGAGGGAGAGAGGAAGGGAGGGAGAGGTCTTCATCCACTGGCCACCATGGCCGGACTGCGCTGATCCAAAGCCAGGAGCCAGGAGCTTCTTCCAGGTCTCCCACATGGGTGCAGGGGCCCAAGGACTTGGGCCATCTTCTACTGCTTTCCCAGGCCACAGCAGAGAGCTGGATCGGAAGTGGAGCAGCTGGGACTCGAACCAGCACCCACGTGGGATGCTGGCACCACAGGTGGTGGCTTTACCCACTACGCCACAGTACCGGCCCCCTAGATAATATGTTTTGAATACCACTAGAAATAGAAAATGATCTCTGAATTCCCTGTCCACCAGAGCCATGGACAGATGATGTACTTAGTCAATGTCAGTGAAGGTAGCTACATTTAAATGTGAGTGACCTTGAACAAGTTATCAGTCTCTCAGAGCCTCAGAATCCTCCTATGGCAAAAGTGGGATAATGATGGCACCTGCCTCAAAGGCGGCTGCAGGAGTTAAGCGGAAACAGAAGCATACAGTGATAACACATATTATTAAAATTGTGAATCAAAAACGAGATGAGAGAAACCAAGGCCCTGCTCTCAGAGACTTAGCAGTTGTGGCAGATGGGATTCATCTCTTTTGGGCTGCCTCCAGCTGATTGGCAGGTGCTGCCTGGAGTGCTGTGTAGAGGATTATAAAAACTAGATCTACTCCCAGCAGGAAAAAGGAATTGATTAGCAATGCCTGCCATGGGCGGGAGAGGGGACTGGGGCAGCAGGTGTACAGTGCATATGCTGACCCTGATCTGGTTAGAGAGAAAGACACACAGGCAAAGAACTCTGGTATAAGGCAGGGGATTTGTTTGGGGAAGACAGATTCAGGAGCCACTCCCAAGCTGGTGGCACTGAAGCCATGTGTGCAAGCATGGATGGAAAGGAGGTTTCTTGAGACAGAGGGAACCTCTTGAACAAACACACAATACCTGGGTGGTGATGGCTCTGACTGCAAGCCACAGACAATGCCACCAAAGGCAGCTTAGACAACAGGGAAACTTGATTCTGTCAGACAAGAAGTCCAATCAGGGCTGACTAATCAAGCACCTTGACAGTGGCCTTGTATTTTCTACATTGCTGGTGGTATGGACTGAATTGTGCCTGTCCCTGTCGAGATTGGTGTGTGGAAGCCCCAACACCACCCCCGCCCCAGTATTTCAGAATCTAACAGTATTTGGAGATAGAACCTTGAAAGAAGTGATTCAGTTAAAATGAGGAGTTAGGGTGAGCCCTTATCCAATCTGACAGGTGCCCTTCTAAGAAAAGGGAATTTGGACACAAAAAGGGAGGAGCTTGTGTGTGGAGGACAGGCCGTGTGGGGACCAGCCGAGGACAGCAGTCAGGGAGCCAGGTTCTGGGAGAGCCAGCCCTGCCAGCACCTTTGTCATGGACTCGCAACCTCCAGAGCCGGAGGAAGTTAAGTCTCCGTTGTTTGAGTCGCCTGGTCTGGGGGATTCTGTTCAGCCCTGGCAGCTAACACAGCTGCTGCTTGGCAGGAGGCTGGACACGAAGCCATCTGCTTCCCCTTCTGTCTGTCTGCGTCGTGGAGGAGAAACCTTTCCTAGAGACTCCGCAGGAGACTTTCCTTAGGAACCTACAGCCGAGTACAGCAGCCAGGCTTTATTTTGGTTTTGTAGCAAAGACCCAAGTAGCAGTGACCTACGCACAAAGATGTTTATCTTCTCACGGAACAGTGGAGGCACCAGCAGCCCAGCTCCCTGGCCAGGCATGCTCTCCCTTGCTGACCCACCATGCTGCGGTTTTGGTCTCTCCGCTGAGCTGTTGTCCAGCCGACAGGCTGAATCAAAAGTGGAGAACACAGTCCCTCCCTTAATGGGAAGACCCAGAGTAGCAGAGAGCTCTCACATCTCAATGGCCAGCACTTTGTTCCAAGGCCACACCCAGCTTCAAAGGAAATGGGATCTTTTATCCTGGGTGGCCATGCAGCTAGATAAAATTTCCTTTGTAGAAAAAGGTAGGGTGAGTATTTGGCACAGGGATTCAACTGCCTCTCGGGATGCCCACATCCAATGTGGTTTGCCAGGGTTTGAGTTCACATCCACTTCCTGCCCAGTTTCCTGCTGATGTGCGCCCTGGGAGTCAGCAAATGATGTCCAAGTACTTGGGTCCCTGATACCTACATAGGTGACCTGTGTGGAGTTCCTGACTCCTGGCCCAACCTTGGCTATTTCAGGCGTTTGAGGAGCAACTAGAAGATGCGAGATCGATCTGTGTGTGTCACTCTGCCTTTCTTTTTAAAAAGATTTATTTATTTATTTGAAAGGCAAAGGTGGGGTGGGGGGGAGATCATCCATCCACCGGTTCACTCTCCAAATGGCTGCAATGGCTGGAGCTGCACTGATCCGAAGCTGGCAGCTTTCTTTCAGGTCTCCCACGTGGGTGCAGGGGCCCAAGGACTTGGGCCGTCTTCTACTGCTTTCCCAGGCCACAGCAGAGAGCTGGATTGGAAGGGGAGCAACTGCACCTCGAACCAACACCCATATAGGATGCCGGCACTGCAGGTGGCGACTTTATCTGCTCCACCACAGCGCTGGCCCCAGATAAATAAAAATAAACTTTAACAAACTGCTCTCCCCACCCCATAGTGGTTCATTCAGTAAGTCTGGGAAGGGTCCTGAGACTCTGCAATCTAACAAGGTCCCTGGTGCTACTAGTCTGGGGATCATACGCTGAGAACCATGGTCTTAGGCTAATAGTGATTGACTCCTGGAGCCAGATAGGGACTCCAGCACTCCCTGAGCACTTGGTGGGGTGGCCTAGGAAACTGGGACTCTACCTGCACGGGACAATGGGAGCAGGCGGACGGTGGTTGGGAGAGGCCATGTGGGCCGGGCAGGGGCAAAGCTGAAGACGAGGCTCAAAGTAGGCCCAGTTTGTGAAGAGTCAACAGGAGGACGTGACCCTTCCCCTGCAGGTGCTGAAGAGTCGCAAGGGGTTCTAAGGAGGGAAATGCCACGGCCAGCTTCCTGTCCCAGTAGGGTGCATTACAGCAGTGGTCCTTAAAGAAAGGTGCTCACGCGCCCTTGCTCCAGAATCCTCTGGAGAACTTTGAGAATGTGGAATCCCAGGAGTCGGAAGTCCACACGCACAGCAAGCTCCCTGGGTGGGCAGCATTGTGCACTGGGACACTTGCCCACGTCTGAGTGCCAGTTCAAGTCCTGGCTACTCGGCTCGCGATCCAGCCGCCTGCTGATGTGCCCGGGAAGGCAGTGGATGGTGGTCCCTGCCACCCGGTGGGAAACCCAGATGGAGTTCCGGGCGCCTGGCTTCAGCCCCTGCTGCTGTGGCTGTTGGGGGAGTGAACCAGTGAATGGAATCAATCAATCAATCAATCAATCTCTCTCTGCCTTTCAGATAGATAGAGATAATCTTAAAAATAAAAATAAAATAAAACAAAGCAAGCCCCTTTCCCACAAGTGATTCTGCAGCACTTGAAGTTTGAGAGCCAGCACTGCACAGGAGCAGATCTTTTAGAAGATGGTGAACTCTGGAGGGCAGGGAGTGTCTCTGTTTTCTAGCTTTGCTGTTCACTGTGCCTACAATTTTACCTGGTACCTTGTAGGTGCTAAGTAAACGTCTGTTTTACTGAAGTGAGGAACTTCAATCTGGGTCCTGATTTTGTCACCTCTGATAGGTATGCCTCCACCCTCATCACTTTTTTTCTCTTATCTGTAAAATGAATTTGGAGATCATCCCTAGAAAGGTTGGCCAGGAGATTGATTGGTAGAGGTGCTGTCCAGTCAACAGGGAACTTTGTACAATGTCCTGCCCTCTTCCAGCCGGTACCTTTCTCTCTTAAAGGAGCCCCTAGATTGTCGCAGGAGGCTCCTCTCCCACCACTCACTCCTTCCCTGGTCCAGAACAGCCAAAACAATAGTAGGCAAGCAGCACATACTGAAATGACTTTTAATATCTCATGTCGCAGCAAAATTAAAAATATACAAAAAGTCTGTGGCGTACAAAAAAGTCTCAGTCCAGAAGCCCCAGCTTGGGGCCCCTCCCCCTCCTGGGGGAAGTGCGGAGGGGCTCAGTGGGGGTGGGGGTTGGGGATGGCACAGACATTATAAATACAGGAGGTGGGACCGGGAACTGGAAACAGAAGTGGGCCAGGTGGGGACTGATTGGGGAGCGGGAAGGGTCACTCGGAATTGTGCTGAGGGAGGGGAATGGCCCCTCGGGCATGGCTAGTGGTTCCTGGAGTCGGGAGAGAAAGCGGAGGGGAATCAGGGCGGGGGTGTTCTGCTGGGACCCCCAAAGACCTAGATTCTAGTCCCACCCTGCCACTAGCTGGCGGTATGACAGGCTGGCAGCTTCCCATCTCCAGGCCTGCCCCTGCTGTCCCAAAGGACACTGGGTGACCAACCCACTGAGCATCCGTGGAGGCAGGAAACAGTGCCTGCGAATGCTTCCGAGAACTCTGTATTACACAATCCAGAATGTGGATTTTCTTTGCCTCCAGACCCTAGAAATGACCTCCAGGCCATGGCGGCATTCACTTTCTGCAATCAGAAGCTTGGCTTGAGTTACTTTCATGTGGGAAACTGAGTTCTTCCTCAAGGAATGAGGCTTGTTTGGAGGAACGCCAGGCCGAACTCCCAAACCGTAGGCTCTTCAGGGGCAGAAGGACCAGGCAATGGTTCCGGTCCCTTCCTGCTCTCTGGGAAACCAGTGGGCTTGGGCTGTGTTCGTCCCAGGCCTTTCCAGGTTTGGCAGGACAGCCCAAAGGAGACAGGTGGGAGGAGGGTCACGCTCAGTCTAGGTGGAGTCTGGGATCTGGGGAGCAGGGATCATCCCTTTGCCCCACCCCGTGCCTATTGTACCCCTCTTTGTCCCAGATTATTGCAGGTGCGCTGGGGCCCCCACCCCTTCAGCCTGGCCTAGGGGTGCCCTTGTAGTGATTGTGCATAGAAAGAAAGGCCAGGGTTGCTGAAAAGGGAGGGGTGGGAGAGGCAGAGCACAGGGGCCCCCTTGCCCGGGGAGCTTCCTGTCTCCAGCAGCCAGGCCAGGCCTGGGCCGGGCCCTCCTCTCCCACTCCCACATGTTCTGCTCCAGAGTTCTTCCTCCCCTGGCCTCTCCCAGGAGTCCCCATTCCCCTCGGCAGCTGGAATGGCTGACTCCCCCCCACACCCCACCCCCAGTGTCAGAAGCCTCCCTGGCCAGGAACGGGGACCCAGGCCCCGTCCCTGTGGCTGCCCCAGTGGCTTGGCTTGGCACTCACTCGGTCCTTCGTCCGCAGGCATCACAGAGCACCTCAGTGCAGGTACTGACCGCTCGCCTCCCTGCAGGCCCTACCCCCAGCTCAGTCCTGGAGGAGGCAGGTGGGGCAGCTGGGCCTGCCTTCCTTCTTATCCTGCACCTGGGCTTCCCTTCTCCCTACCTGATACAGGTTCCTGCTAAACTGAAGACCCCAGCACTCCGGGGTTGGGTGCGGGGGGCTGTAGCCCTTACCAGGTGATGGCTCCCAAACCAGGGACCCCCGGACTCCCAGACTGACCTTCCTTTCTCAGCTGAGAGAGCAGTGGGGGCAGCTGTCAGGTGGTAGGAGTTTAGGGTTGGACTAGCAAGGTCTCAGGGAGCCACTGCCTCTGTTCCTGACTTCCCTGGAGGGGTTTCCAGAACCATCTCCACGTTTTGATCCAGAGACCCAAAGAGGGCCAAATCTGAGTGCCTAGTTTGGCCAGCACCGTGCTTCTCAAAACTGTGAACCTCAGTGCCTGCAGGGAGGGCACACGTTCTCCTGCTGGTCTCAGTCTCCACCACGCCCTGCTGTCTAGCACCTCCATGCCTCTTGTTTTGAGTTTGCAATCCAGGCAACCGTGCCCCACGGCGTCAGGCTTGCATGGCCTCCAGGCCCGGGTGAGCTCTAAGAGCTGCAGGGCCTCTGCCCCAGATAAAATCACCCCTGGGTATTCCCAGGCCTGCACCCTCACCTGGAGACCTGGGTGTTCCCCAGCCTCGGCCTCCTGGCCTCTGCTTTCCCCAACTCTCACTGGTGACACGCCCTGGGGGACACAGGTGTAGCAGGTGAACAGACTGGGGGGCGGGCACCTAGGAAGCCCCTCCTGCTGGGGAGGGCAGAGTCTGTGCTGCTCAGCCGGGCGATTTACAAGGCACGTGGCAGGTCGGAGCGTGCAGGCGTGATGGGCGCATGGTGACCGTGAGAACAGTCGGCAGCCCAGGGGGTTGGTTTGAGGTGGGGAAGCTCAAGACAATGATGGGAAAGGGGACATAAGCGTCCTACGCTAGAGCTGCTCGGGGGCAGGGCTGGACCTGCCTGGCCCTTTGGTTCCAGGGGTTCTGTTTTGGCAAGTTCGATGCACTTGACTCCCGCCTATGTCTGGGAACCCCCTGACGCCGCCGCCACCGCCCCACCGTGTGATCTTGGGCAAGTCCCTGGATCTCGATATCACCTGTGTGTAATGGATGGGAGGAGCAGATGGCTTAGGGGACCCCAAGGGCCCCCCTTCTGGCTTGGGGCTCTGGACCCCTTCTCACTGCAAGTCCCCTTGGCATCCTGGGAGGACGGAGCTTCCAGGCTGGGGTGGGGGGTGGGGAACTGGTTCTGGCAGGGGAGAAAGCAGCTGAGGTAGATTGTGTCACAGAGAGGAGACAGTTCTAAGGGGAAGGGCCCTCCCCCACGTCACACGGGGAGCAGCAGGACGACAGGTGTGGGCACAGGCCAGCGCGCTGGAGGACCTCAGGCCTGGGAGGGGCAGGGTCCAGTGCTCCCCAGAGGAGGAGGCGCAGAAGGGGCCGGCAGCCCTCTCCCTGGGGTCCTGGGACTGCGACCACATGTGGGACTCGGGTTCTTTCTGGCCGAGGCCCTGAGGGAAGGTTTCTAGCATTGCAATGATAGGGGCAGGGGGTGGAGCAGAGGCCAAATATATGGCTGTGACTTCTCTGCAAGCCTCACGCCTCGCCAAGCACTGCCAGCTCATTCTCCTCCCAGGGTGCCCGGGTGCCTCCCGGAGCTGCTCCCGGCTGGAGATTGTCCACTTTTCCTCCCAGCATGCTGGAGAGAGGCACCAGCAGAGAGGCCGTTCCAGGAACTGCCAAGGGCGGCTAGCATGCTGCCTCTGAGCCTGCATTGGGTTGAGGGCACCTTTCTTGCAGGGGTGTTGCAGGCAGGGGAGAAGGTCAGGGAAACCACACAGGGTGCAAACTCTTGGCCAAGGTCAGCCCTGGAGAGACAGCTGGACCTGGGGCCCCGTCCCCGAGGTTCTGTCTCATAAAGGCTTTGAGGAGTGTGTGACGGACCACAGAATTCGGCCTCTGAAGACAGATTTGGGCAGAGGACAAGGTGGATGGGAGAACCCAGCCAAGCAGGCCTGCCATGACCTCGGCTTCTCCCAGCCCCACCACTCCTGAGCTCCCCAGGGCTCGGGGAAATGGACAAAAGAGGGAAAAGCATCCTTCTGTGTGGGCAGGAGAGACGCACACCCTGCCTCGGCCAGTGCCGTCTGCATAGCTACCGCTGGCACCGGGACTGGGGTGGCCTTGCCACTGGTGAGATGTGTGCTTGTGGTGCTGGTAGTTGGGGGGAGAGGAGTCCTGCCCCCTCTGCCCTTGGAGTCGCTTTTGGCAAATCCAGCACCGGTCATCACCATTTGCTGTGGCGTCCAGGAGCCTGGGACTTTGTGAGACTAACTGCTCCTCTGGGAATCCCATGGGCGGCTGAACCAAAGAGGCCTAAGCGCTCCTCTAATTTGCATAGTCTAGGATTCTCATGGCCAGCCTTGCCCACCACCCCCCCGCCCAGGTCTGTGTCTGTCCTTAACACTCGCTGCTGTCTGCATCCCGTCTAGGACTGGCTGTCCCAGGTGCGGGGACGAGCCCTGGGAGAGTTCAGGCCGTGGGAATGGGACTGGGGTGTTGTCAGATGGAAGGCAAAACAAGTCAGTTTCCCACACGTCGCCCCAGGGAGTCGCATCTGCGGCACGGCTGAGAGCCAGGATTCACGTCACGTCCCCAGAGCTACGTTTTCTCCAGCTGGGAACAGTTGGTAGCAGAAATGTCTCAGGGGTCCTTGCAGGAAGACAGCTGTGGACCAAGGTGGACAGGGGCCTAGAACTCCCACAAGCCCCAGAAGTCTCTTGGACACTCTACTACCTGCCAAGTGTTCTAGAACTTCCTCGAGAACCAAGCATGGCTCTGGAGCAGGAAGATGATGGAGCCTCATCTGTTGTGGGCCCAGACCAAGTGTCTTCCTACGCATTTTATCTGCTGGGCTCCAGGCCTTGATATGGCAGAATGTTCCAGACGCTCATCCAGAACAAAGATTGGCTCCTGGAAACTTCCCCCGGACGTGTCTGGAACCTCAGCCCTGGTAGAGCCCCTCTCAGGAGTCTGCCTCCCTCATCACCCACACTCTGGAGTGCAGGTTCCCCTCCCCCACGCCTCCCCTGCTTCAGACCTCTGCCAGCCAGGACCCCTCAGGGGTCTGCCCCCCATCCATCTCTAGCACTGCCTCCTACTCCATCTCCCACCCACCCCAACTCCCTTCGTCAACTCCCCTCTTGCCCCAGCTGCAGGCCTCAGACCCTACAGAAACTGTGCCAACCCTACATATAGCCCCTCCATCCTTCCCCGAGGCCTCCTCCCCGCCCCCACACACCCCAGTGAGGAGCACAGGGTCTAGGTCATGGACCCTAGACAGTGCCCTTTTGCCTGGCAGGTCACCAGGGCCAAGCTGTGAGCAAAGCCAGGCAGGAGAGAGGGTATGAGGCCCCATGGGGTGGGGCAGCTCATGAGGGGTGTAGCACCAGTTGTCTCCCTGGGGAATGGGCTACAGGGCATCGGGCCAGGCCTTCCAAAAGGCTGCCCCCCCACACCCCGAAAGAACCGATGATGGGCCACTCCCCCTTAGCTTGGTGGCCTTGAAATTCTGGGCTCCACACAGTGGTGGTCGATGCGGGGCCAGCCAAGCCCATGCCTTTGTCGGGGAGACTGTAGCCTACACGGTGGTCTCATACTCCAGCAGTTCCTGCGAGGTCCCCACGCTCCGGTACTGCACCCGCGGTGTAACCGGCGAGGAGTACTCCAGCGCCAGGATGGTCTTCCGCAGCCGGCGGTCGATAAAGTGAGCGTCCCACGCCGGGTACTTCTTGCGAGGCAAGTCGATCCGAATGACAGGCCCCTCTGTCCGCAAGGCGTGGGCCACTGGTGTGGGCGGCAGGCCGGGCCGCACCTGGAAGACAGGTGGTGTGGGGGTCCCGGGTCGCTCACCCCCCACGGAGGCCCCATCCCGCTCAGCGCCTGTAGTCCTGGGCAGGGACCTCGGGGGGCTTGTGACAGCATCAGCCGGCGGCCCACAGGGCTCTGGGGACTCGGAGAAGATGCAGCCGGCAGCCTGGGGACCCAGCATGGGCCCGTTGGGGTGCAGGAGGCAGTAATAGACACACATGAAGAAGATGCCAAGCGCGAAGCTGGAGGCCACCACGCAGACCAGGATGAGCGAGCGGAAGTCGGTGGCGAAGTTGCGGCTGGAGTACCAGAAGCCAGTGAGCGCAGCGTTCTCCAACAGCACGAGGCAGTGGTAGAGGGCCATGCGGCGGCGGCTGCGGCCCTCCTTGACGTTGAACCAGCAAAAGATGTAGATGATGCCCACCACCATATTGTAGATGATCTCTTCCCACTTGGACGTGCAGAAGTCCGTCTCGCCCTGGATGACCCAGAAGGTCATGACGCACCAGTGCGCCACGATGAAGATGCCAAAGTAGAGCTTGTAGACACTGGCGAACAGCGCGAAGGCCAGGCTGCGGGCCGCGATGCTGAACAGGTGCCACAGCACCTGGGCCACCGCGCCCTTGTAGGACAGGGGCCGCTTGTCGTCCCGCGAGTCCCGCAGCACCTTCTGGTAGGAGGCCAGCGTCCAGGCCAGGGACACCAGGGAGGCCGAGGTGGACAGGGCTGCGGAGACAGGGCGGGGGCGGGGTGGGCTGGGTTAGGGGCGGGTCCAGGTTGGGGTCTGGGGAGAGGGGGAGGGTTCCGGGTCAGGAGCTGGGTTCCGAGGTGTAGGGGAAGGGGCTGTGGAGGATGGGGTTAGGTGAGGGTAGGCAGGGCTGGGTGTTCCTGTGAAGCTGGGAGCATCAGGGGGAGGGTGGGTGACTTGAGTCTCCATAGGGTCAAGTCTAGTATGGGGCCATTAGGGGCAGGATCTTGGAGGGTGGGAAGTCGGGGGTCCAGGACTCTGGGAGTGGAAGAGGAGGGGGGTCTTGATTAGGGCATGGAGGAGCCAGGAGGCGGCCAATTAAGATATCGGGGGCCCCAGGATGGGCATTGGGTGTGGAGAGGGATATGTGGAGCTGAGCAGAACTGAGGGTGGGATGGGACCCCTTGTCCTGGGCCAGGGACTCATAGGGGCCTGGGCAGGGACAGCATGGGCACTGCAGCTGGGGGGACACTGAGGGGCTGGCCTTGCCTTGTTGGTAGTGGAAGGGGTATGGGGAAGGAGGGGATTGGGAGCAGGGCTAGGCCTGGGAGGGGTCCCCAGTGCCCCCAGTGACTAGGGAGACAGGTTCTCTGGTAGTTGGGAGGCAGGGGGTCCCCAGGAGATGCCTGCTGGGACCAGAACAGCCTGGGGATGAACAGGCCAGGGTCTTCCCCGAGGGCCAAGGTGTGTTGACTTGGCCAGAATGGCTCTGCTCTGCCGGCCGGGGGTGGGGGAGGGAGACCAGTGAGAACAGGAGCCTCCGGCGGGCTCTCCTACCTCTGAGGGCATCAGGGGACCTAGGGTCTCGCGAGGCCTCCCCCAACCCCGCGTGGGTGGGCTCTGTGGCGGGGAAGGAGGCTCACCGGGCAGCAGGTCGGGCTCGCCGCCGCGGTGCAGCAGCAGGCTGAGCTGCAGCACGAGCTGGGGCGCGCTGCGCAGGAAGGTCTCCAGCAGGCGCAGCATGCTCACGTCGGCACTCTCGAACAGCATCTGCCAGTAGAAGTGGCGCCGCAGCCGCTCGCCGCGCCAGCGGCTCTGCAGCCCCAGGTAGAGCGCGCGCAGGTACCTGCGGGGGTGGGGGGTGGGGCGGAGAGCTCAGGCTCCAGCCGGGTCCTCCGTGCGCGCACCCTGCGGAGCCACCCAGCCAGGGAGCGCAGAGGGCGATGGGCGGATGAAGGGGATCACCCAGGGCTGTTGGGGGAGCTCACTGGCTTCGAGCACTGGCAGAAAAGAATCCCTGAGCGTTTATGGCCGTCATTATGGGGCCAGCTTTCTGTGCTCGGAGCACCCTGAGCCTTCCACAGTCCTGTGATCAGCCCCATTTCACAGAAGGTAAGGACACTGAGGCCCAGAGAGGTGCCTCATCAGTCCAAGGTCACACAGGAAGTAGTGGAACCGGGATTCTGGCATCAGCGCCCACCCGGTAACCACGAGACCACACTGCCTCTTCCTGGGAGCCTTAGAGTTTCACAGGCGTGGGATTCTTCAGGGACAATATCTGGTGCCAGCCCCAGTTCTGTTGTCACCTGGCCTGCTCCCTGATCACACCTGTGAGTGCCCATCTTCAGCACAGGGCGTGGGGAAGCTGCTAGGAGCCCCATTCCCCTGGATCGAGACTTTGCTGTTGATGCTGCCCCTGTCCCTTCTCCCGACCACCTCAGGCGCCCCCTTCTCCACTCCCATCCGAGCACCCAGTGCTCTCCCTCACCCCTGACTTTTGCACCCGCTCTTCCCTCTGTCTGAACACCCCAGCCCTCAACCCCAGCCCACCCCACACCTGGATGATCCTTGCTTTCTTTTAAGGAAGCTCTCAGCTTTCTTCTAAAGTCCGGAGTTCAAATCCTAGCTTTGCTTCTAGTGAACTGTGACCTTAAGCAAGACCCTCTCTGAGCCCTAGAGAATCCCTCCCACAGTGGCTGTGAGGGTCCAGTGGGTGAGAAGCATTTTGCACACGGAAAGGAGCAGTGCCCAAGCACCAGTGCCCACAGTGCCCAGGCACCAGTGCCCACGCGCGTCTCAGCCCTTCTCGCCCAGCAGCTCTGCTGCACACTGCTGCAGCCACAGTCCGAGCCCCCAGATGCCCTGATTGGCAGAGCAGGTGCAGCTTTCCCCAAAGTCATCGAGGGCTCCTCCGACGTGGCCTCCCTCAGTCACTGAGCACGGGCAGAGGGGGACTCCCAACAGAGTCTGTGACCCTAATGCCTGCATCTGAAGTTGGGGAGCCCAGAATTTGGAGGTCCATTCCTAGAGGTGGAGTGCTGGCACGCCTGGGACATGGTTTGGGAATCAGGACCAGCTCCAGTCATGAAGTTGTTATTGCCAGCTGAAGGCAGGGACCAGGGAGCTCCCTGGAAGCTGGGGCCAGCTGATATCCATAGTGTCCCTGACTGAGTACCCTGGTCTCAGCAGCTGTGTGGTCCCCTCTGGGCCTCAGTTTCTCCATCTGTCAGCCCAGACTCACCCTAAAGTGTGGCCAAGGACTTCCAGCGTGGGGTGCTCCTCCTGGCACACGTCAATGGGATCGACACACCCTCAGCAGGATGCATCACAGAGCTGGCGGCCAGGGTGGGGAAGGGGCTGGGCCCTCAGTCTGGCTTGCGGGCAGAGCTGGTATTTGCTCTGCAACGTCCAGCCCTGTGCGTTCACACCTGCTGTGCTCACACTTCTCAGGGTAGGAGGGACTCCCCCAAGGCAGGGCCCTGAGCATCTGAAACCTGCCCCATCATCCTCTGGCCGCTGCCTGCACCTTGCAGGAGCGCTAAAGCCAGAGCCCTTCATTCCCACAGCCGCTGGAGCTTGGCCACCTGCTCTGTGCCAGGCATGGTACCCTCCTGGACCCCGCAGTGCCAGGGGAGCCAAGACAGGAGGTGAAGCCGATGTTCTGGACCCCAGAGAGATGGATGAATGTCTGGGGGAGGGGGTCAGGGAAGACTTCCTGGAGAAAGAAGCGTTTGCTGTCCGTTTTAAAGTGCAGGTTAGCATCTGAAGGCACACAAGAGGTAGGAGGGCGTTCCAGGCGGAAGGACCTGCTGACGCCAAGGCATGGACGTGTGGGAGAGCGTGGCCTCTTGGGGTGGCTGTGGCTTGCTGGACCTGGACAGGAGGGTTCTACTGGGTGGGGCAGAGCAAACTGGGGCTGTGAGGGCATCCCATTCTGGACGGGAGAGTTCCGATTCGATTGTGAATGTGCACTCCTTCCCAGAAGCAGGGGTGATGGGGTCAGTCAGTAGCTCGGGCAGCCCCTCTGGAAGTCGGCTAGGAGGAAAGCCAGCACAGGCTGGGGTTTGGTCCAGGCCTGCAGTGACAGCGCTGAGCCAAGGCAGGGGACCAAGGTGGAGCAGAGAGCAGATCTGGAGGTGGCCAGAAGTGGGGGTGAGGGAGAGACCACGCTGGCCCCAGAACTCCTGAGGGGCCCCCAGATCCATTCCCTTCTCCACTCCTGCAGCTCTGGCTTTGAGCAGGAAGGAGAGACCAGCTGGCCCAATGCAAAGGGGCCCGGGGAGCTGGGGGAGGGCAACACCCTGGAAGTTTCTCTCAGGCTGGAAGACCATCTGTTTCTAAGCCCGGGTCAGCATGAGGGAGGCCCCGGCCCTCAGCCAGCATCCATCACCATTGACAGCCCGCCTGCCCACCTCCCCGCCCACTTCCACCCCCTCCTCTGCCAGCTCCCCGCTCACCACAGACAAAGGGCTCATGCAGCCCAGGGCTGCTGCGGGCAGGAGCCTGGCCAGAGAGGAGGAGAAGCAAGGAGGCCTCTGTGTGCCAGGAGCATGGGGTTGGTGGAGAGAGTGGAGAGACCGTGCTGCAGATCAGGGGTGACAGGCCTGGGTGCTGCCTTACTCTGCCCCTTTTGGCAACAGGACCAAAACCGTGGCTGTTCCTCCCAGCTGCCACTGAATGCTCCCTGCCAAGGGCCTACGAGATCTTCATGGGCCTAGGAGAAGGTTTGAGGCCCTAAAATAAATTGGCTCCGAAACATAGGGAAAAACTGCAGAATCAAAATTAATAAATGTTTAATTAAATGTCTGCAAAACAGAACATGATGTCAGCCAGTCAACTGCAATTTGGCTTTGATTGGGTTATATATAATTTACATTTGATGTGGCTACATTTTAACATGCTCGATAGATGTGGAGCCCATGGATGTCTCAGGCCTGCCCGGGACACGCAACCTCATTTCTCTGGGCTTCGTTTCCCCTTCTCTAAATTGGGGCTGGCACCTGCCATCCTGGCTGCATCCCAGCCACTGCAGGGAGGGTCAGAAAGGCAACTTGGCAGGGTGCTGGGCTGGTGGGCTTGCGTCAGTCCCGCTGCGTGGCCATAGGTAGTCTCTGAGCCTTCCCTCTTTGTTGTGATAGATCAGAAAATAATTTGTAAACTGTAAAGGGATGGGCACGTGGAGGGGAGCACACACTGAGCTGGGGTCTCTGGCTCCTCCCGACTCCCTAGCATCTTTCCTGAAACCTCCTCCAGGAAGCCTGCCCCATCCCACCTCCCACCTCCCACTGAAAGAAAGTTGATCTTCCCCATGAATGGAACCCATCGAAAAGGATGCCTCCTCTCAGGGAAAGGACTCCAGACTTGAGGAGCAGGTGTGCACCTGCTCCTTTCCAAAATGCATGCCCGGTCCGTCCATCTGTCTACTGTCAGCACCTAGTGCAGGCCACTGCCATCTCCGGCCCGGATGACCACAAAGGGCTTCCCTGTGAGCTTCCTGCATCTGCTCCTGCCCCGCCACAGAGCAGCCCGCGGGATATTCTAAACGCTGTCAGATCATGTCATCCCCTTCGCGAGCCTTCCAAGGGCCTCCCATCACACTTGGAATAAAACCCAAGTGTCTCCCCTTGGCTTGCAGACTCCTAACCATCTGGCCCTGCCTGTTTCTCTGCCCTCATCTCAAGCAGTGTCCCGTTTGTTCCCAGCACTCTCGATGCACTGGGGGCCCCTTGAGCCCTGCCATGGCGCCTTTGCACCTGCCGCTTGCTCTGCCAGGAACACCCCTGACTCGGATCCTGCTGTGGCTGACTCCTCATCAGTTCACGGTACCTTCTTGGAGAGGTCTCCTGGGCCTCCCGTCCCACATCGGCGCCTCCCCCCTCACCATATCATTGCTTCTGTCCTATTCTCTTCTTGACATACACTATGAGGAGATCTCATTCATTTACTTACACATTCATTTTCTATTCTACCACATGGCTCCTTTGAGCAGTCTCACCCTGGGACCTTGCCACTCTGTCCCCAGCATCAGGCAATCAACAGATATTTACTGAATGAGTCAGTGAGTGTGTGCCTCGCCGACCTGACCATGGAGGGTCCTGGGGCTTCTGCCTGACTTTGTGGAGGCAGGACACCCTGCCAGCTCCTCTTGTCCTCACTGCCTCATCTCTGTCCCTCTTCCAGGAAGCCCTCCCTGACAGCCCCCAGCCTGGTGAGGTCTCCCCTCTTCTGACAGGTCTCTGACTTCAGCTGCCTGAGGCCCGGTGGGAGTCAGTGCCCTTCAAGCTCACAGAGCGCTGTTGCCATCCCATTTTCTGGATGAGGAAACAGAGGTGCCAAGTTGTCTGGTTTGGATCTAATTTACAGACTCCCAGTCTTGTGCTCAGAGAGCACGTCTGGGAGGAAACTGGGAGAGCAGAAAAGTGTAAATTGCTGTGGGTCGGGTGGGAGCAGAGAGGAGGCGAGAAGCCAGCCGGGAGGGTGTGGACCCCGTCTCTCCCCAGCCCTGCCTCTGTGAGCAGGCAGCAGCACCAAGACGCGGATGGCAGCTCGTTCCCTTTTCCCCAGGCCCCTGCCAGCTCCTTCCAGAGTCCCGGGCTCCTTTTCCATGGGCAGAAGGAGGGGCGGAGGATGAGGGGGATCTGAGAGGCCAGGGAGCTTCTGGGCCCAGCTTCTGGATCGGGGCTTCCGGCCTGGACCACAGCGGCCACTCAGTCCCACCTGGGCCTGAGCAGGGCCCCGCTGCTGCTTCTGCTGTCAGGTCCGGGTCACTGCATCTGCCTGCCTGTGCCCGGTCTGTCCCTTGACTGCAGGGTCAGCTTACCCTGTCCGTTCCTCCAACACTGTCGG